AATGATAGTAAATGGAACTCAATATAATCTAGCATGTCAGGAAACTACATTAGAAAACAGAGGTCACATTTCCAAACAAAATCTCATTATTGCTACCACTGTAAGAAGTCTGTACCTCTATTTCATCAGAGATCAAATTTCAAAAAGCAAAATTCACAAACAGCAGTGTGATAGATTTAAGCAGATTTTTAAAAAATTTAGGTTGCTTTATTGTTCTGCTTTAACATATGCTATTCCAAAATCAAAATGACATGTGGTAGATGATATAAATATTTCAATATTTCAACAGCATTTGGAATACAGGTTACTGACTAATATTAGCCATTATTTACTCAGCAAAGATTATAGAAAAACTTTGTTGCTTAGAATAAAGTTATATGTTAATGGAAACATGAAGCAGACATTGAAAATGGGATTTCCGGGGATCTAGGAATGAAACAGCACAGAATATATTTATTGGGTACAAATCCAGGTTTTAACATAATCATCATGAAAAGAAAAAATAGGCTACAGTACAATGAAAAATGCTATTGGTATTTATTGCATATTACTTTCTTGTGTCTACATGCTATTTGCCATAGCATGTGAGATTTCAGGTTGCTCTTAAGAGGAAGCCATCTTAGAATTGAACAAATAAAATTCTGAATAGAATATTCTGTTTTGTAGAATGAAGTGCATATGCTTGTATGGATTTGTACATGAATTTGCACAATTAAGCTTGGAATTTTGAAGATTTGTGTTTCCTATGATTCTTTCTCTCAAGAATCACAATTCATAATTTATTGTTTGTATTAAAGTTATTGTTTATTTTAATGTCTTCTATTCTAAGGGAATTGTTTGATAAAACACTATAAGAAAAACTGTGAAGGTGCTCTATAGTTGAGTAATGAAAAGATTAATTGGTCTATTCAATTTGATCTATTGGAAAAAGAAAAAAGTTGTATTTATCTGTCAGTCTATCTATTTATACATCTATATTCTACCTTTTCTCAAGATAGCAAGTATAAAACAGCATACTTTGTATAGAAATCTATAAAAATCAAGCAATTGTGAGTGCTAGTCCTGCCTCAGGCATGAAGCCAGCTAGGTAGCCTTGGATTAGTCATTTACTCAGCCTTCGGAGGGGATGGGGTGGACAATGACAAACTACTTCCAAAAATCTTACTCAAAAAAATTAGTCCAGGGGGTTGTCACAGGAGTAAAGATCGATTTAAAAAATAAAAAAAGTTAATAGTTAAGATGCTTTATACAATTCTTTTTCAAATTATCCGTTCTGTTAAACAAAATGTATTTATTTGTTAAACATATTTCTGTGTCATTACACATGAAAATCAACATGATTTTTCATAACATACAAACAAAAACAAAGTGGCAAAATGTCAGAACAAGCTTTTAGAAAATATGAAATGCAGAAAATATGATTTGAAAATTACAGTTAAAAACTTGCTTTCATGTTTTACAAATATATGGACAGACTCAGATCACAGCACTAGTGTGGAAGCATGGCCATATCACTTCCTCTTTCCCAAAGTTTTACACCTTGGGCTTGCATTTCCCTGTCTTCCCTTTTGTAACATGCAGTAATAATTTAATAGGAAATTTCTATCTTTCATACGTCCAGCTGATACAGAGAAGGATGAATTGTAATTATTTTGTATGTCTCCATGATATAAGAAAAATATAGACAATAAATTATGGAAAAATGATAAATGAAAAATGATAATGTATAGATGCCATCTTTGATGTCTTATAGCTTTCTATGTTTGTTTTCCTACTCTATTATTGCTATTTTATTTTATTGTATTATGTTAATATTCATCAAACATGCATTAGAATGAGCATGAGCTATATATGAAGCATGGAAATAGCATCACCAAAAATCCAGTTCTATTTTTAATGTCATTTTTAAATTAATGACTCACAGGATGCCAATTTTGTATTGTATCTACTGTCTGCTCATTTGTTTCATATTATCATGCATAATATGAACAGTTTATGACTCAAAACTTGGATTTTTTTTAAAAAAGGCAGAATACTAGATATGAGAAGCATACAGGTAGTTCTTGACTTACAACCATTTGTTTAAATCACCCTTCAAAGTTACAAAAGCACTGAAAACAGTGATTTATTATCAGTTTTCTCACTTATGACTGTTGCAGCATCCGTACAATCACGTGACCAAACCCTGGATGCTTGGCAGCCAGCATATATTACAACAGTTGCAAAATTCTGGGATCCCAAGGTTGTCACCTGCAACTTTCTTAGGAAAAGCAAAGTCAATGGGGGAAGCCAAATCTGCTTAACAAATGCATGATTCACTTAACAACTTCAGTGATTTGCTTAAAAATGCTTTAGAACTTTACAACCATGGCAAAAAAGGTTGTAAAATGGGGCCTGACTTACTTAACTATTCCCTTGCTTAGCAAGGGAAATTTTGAGTTCAATTGCAGTTGTAAGTAGAGCACCACCTGTATCTCAAAATGTATAACGCTTAAACCTATCCTTGAAAATTTACAGCTCAACAGTTGTAATGATTCTGGGTTTTTCTCTTCTCAATATAAATTTGTTTGTTTTCCAGACAGTAAGAAAAAAACAGAAGGAGAGTATTTATAAACTCTTAAAAGTCAAAATAATGTCAAAACTGCATATGTTAACTATACAAATTATATTTACATAGTTAATTGTGCTTCTTAATTAAACTCTAGAAGAAAGCAGACAACGGGTATTCATGAAATGAATGTAAGAGCTGTCCAAGTTTTTTTTTCACAGTATGAAAACAGCTATATAGAACATATGTGTTTTGCAATTACACAGCTTTGTTTTATTTCTGTGCCTCTTTCCCTAACAGGACCCATCTGGTAAGATATGGAACAACCAGTTAAAAAGATAATACTATTGATGAATATTCATAAACAAGTCTCAGCTGAATTCAACAGACTTATTCCTAGCTAGGTGTGCACAAAATTTCAGTTTGTTATAAATTCAATGATTTCAATATCATTTCATCTTAAATAAATACTAATATTATTGCAGCTTAAGTTTCCATGTTCTTAAGACATTCCAGATATTTCAGACATTATGTTGCTATATGTCAGTGTGTCTTTTACAATATTGATGCTACAGTATAGATCATTTTTACTAACTGTAAATTTACCACTTGCAGTCAGAGAATCATAAAACTTTTCCAGATCCTCAGAACTACACCGGTATCTGTGGTCAAAGAACCCTTCAGAATTTCAGTAGGCATCAACATTGCAATAAAGGGCAATTGGCAGAATAATATTTCCAAGCGCTGACTGCCATCAATCATTTGCAGAAACAACAAAAAAGAATTAACTTTGTAACCAGTCCTTGGATTTAAACCACTGCAGGTCTGTAAAGCAAAGCAAAGTAAAATCATGACATTTCACTTAGCAACTGTTTAATTCAATGTCCGAGTTGCCAGTCCCAATTGCAGTCACTAAACTAGGACTACTTGTTACAGGGTGAATAAATTGAAATGTATTCCATTTGTTAGAAGTACAGTATATAGCTACATAAGGAACATTTCTATAATCTGAGTTCCATTTCAAAATGTAAGTAGAATATATCTTTACAATATGTCTATAAGACTTTCCTTTGAAAAGAATGTTAATACCTTCTGTGTTTTGGGAGGTGAAAAGGGATCATGCAATTTCTCCATGACTGAGGAACACGTTCTAGTCCATTCTATCTTCCCCACATTCAGAAGGCATGACTATATTCTAAATAAAGATTTCTCCTTTCATTGAAGAGTTTAACATGTGGTTTTTGCTGTACTCTTCTATTTATCTGTGGAATGCCTTAATTAGGAAAATCATTTGGCATCCATTTAATGTTCTTCTGGGGTAGGGGTGTCAAACTCAATTTCATTGAGGGCCACATCAGGGTTGTGTTGAGCTGGGGGGGGGGGGGCGGGGATGGGTGTGTCTGGGTGGCGTGGCCAGCATGACGTCACTTGTGTGTGGGGAATCTGTGATGGCCCGAGTGCTCTGCCAGTGAAAACAGGCTCTTGAGCTCAGTTTTTGGCTGGGACAGCCTCCTGTAATCCTCTGCCAATGAAAACGGAGCTTGGAGGAGGCTTCACACAGCCCTCATGAGTTCTGTTTTCACTGGCAGAGGCGCTGCAGGCCAGTCCTTCGCTATTTCCAGGGCAGCCCCATGGGCCAGATCTAAGCACTCCACAGGCCAAATCCAGCCTCTGGGCCTTGAGTTGACACCCCTGTTCTGCGGCATTAAGTGGAGGGTTTAAAAAAAAAACTCAGCAAACACTAGCAACTCTTTTAGTGCTTTTTATGTTTTACTTGTTCCTGGTGCATTTGCTACTTTTTGTCATTTTAGTTAGTGATTCTTATGTGGTGATTTGTCATCATTAAGTTCTATGGGCTTAATTAAACCAAAGAAATTCAGCTACTGGGCAGTTTAAAAATGTAATAAACAAACACAGTGATTCATGGGAAAGCTCAGCCCTATTTAGTATTCTTGTTAAAAGGGATTCAACATTATTAGTTTCCACACAACAATGGTACTGAGAAATTTATCAGTTTAGTTTATGTCCCTATAAATAATTTAAATACTTATTTTGAGTTTTTATTTGAATCCATTGAAAAAGCAGATAAATATTAATTTATAATTAATTAGTTCAAAATAATGGATCTGATGTGTTCTCTCATTAGTTATAATTAATCCAATAACTAATCTGACATAAACAAATTGTAAGATAATTACTCTTAAAGAGAATATTTGTAGCTCAGAGTTGAAATGAGGAGTCACTGGTGCTCTCTGAGCTTGGTTGTTTTCTTGCAGACGTTTCATTATCCAAACTGGATAATATTATCAGAGACTAATTCTGCTGATTTTGTGTGTGTACATACAGATGTTTGTGTGTATGTGTGCACACATTTGTAGAAAGATTTTTTTGGCTTGCCAATAATTAAATGGAAGTATATGATGTGGAACTCAAACTTCACTATAGTACTTACAGCATTGAAGTTGGGAAAGAGATTGACAGCTGCAGCAGTGTCCAGTGGGAATGGAAGAAAGGGTTTGAGATCCAATGATGGTGGCAAGGAGGGAATTGAAGGTCGTACCAGGGCTGGAAAAGCAGGACTCTGGCATGTACCTCCTATATAAAGAAAAAGAAAAGAACAAATGAAATCATACATAATGATGTAAAGCTGTTCAATACCACAGACAATACTGCTACCCTTCAAAAAGATCTTGACTGTGTATCAGAATGGTCAAACAAATGGCAACTTCAAATCTCAACAAATAAATGCTCTGTCTTACATATTGGCAAAAAAAATCCGAAAATAAATACAAGCTGAATAGTCAAGATCTTGTTGATGATCCAAGCTCTGTAAAGGACCTTGGAATACTCACCTCTAATGATCTAAGTGCTAGAGCCCACTGCAACTACATAGCCAAAAAGGAATTAAGAGTTGTTAACCTAATCTTACGTAGCTTTTTCTCTGGTAATATCACACTACTAACTAGAGCATACAAAACATTTGCTAGACCAATACTCAAATACAGCTCATCAGTCTGGAACCCACATTACGTATCTGATATTAGCACAATTGAGAAAGTCCAGAAATATTTCACAAGAAGAGTTCTCCACTCCTCTACTCGTTGTAGAATACCTTATGCCACCAGACTTGAAATTCTAGAACTAGAAAACCTTGAATTACGCCGTCTTTGGTCTGATTTAAGCATGGTATATAAAATCATACATTGCAATGTCCTACCTGTCAATGAATACTTCAGCTTCAACCATAACAACACAAGAGCACACAACAGATACAAACTCAAGGTTAACCGTACCAAGCTTGATTGCAGGAAATACGACTTCAGCAACAGAGTGGTCAATGTCTGGAATACTCTACCCAACTCTATAGTTTCTTCGCCAAACCCCAAAAACTTTAACCTTAGACTGTCTACTATTGACCTCACCCCTTTCCTAAGAGGTCTGTAGGGGGCGTGCATAAGCGCACCAACGTGCCTACCGTCCCTGTCCTATTGTTTCTTTTATTTTTCTTTTATTTTTCTTATATGTACCCATTTCATGTATTCATAACTATGTATACACTTATACTTATTATCTTGTAAACAATTGACAAATAAATAAATAAATAAATAATAAATAAAATAAATAATTGTTTCTTAATTTAGTTGCATTCTAATTTGGACTGCAGGTATTAAAACTAAATCAGTAAAAAACATTTTTTTATCATTCCCATTTTTTAAGGAATCCTAGCAGGAAACAATTATTTTTTTCACTAGTATTGAGTTCCAGATTGCTCTAAGTATGAACCACATCTCCAATATCATTACTCCATGAAGCTGAGGAATCCCTCTGAGGTATATAAACCTTTACATTTAGAGGGACATTTTGCCATAATCCCTTATAGTGGTATAGTACTCTTTTTATCCACTTATTTAGGATATAGTTGTCAGCACTAATGGCAGAATGAAATTATTGAATTAGAGGTTGGCAGTTAGGAGGAAGGTGAATAACTTATCCTTCTCAGAATAAAAAAGTCAAAAATATTTGCCTTTAAAAAAAGAAGAAAGAACTTATGCAGCCCTACGTTTGCAACAGATAAGCCCACAGATAAGCCTGTAATTTTCTTCTTACAAAAGTTACTGTTTAAAATTGTGGTTTTTGTCAATTTGTGTCAAATAGCCTCTGGCAAATATCCTAAAGTGCAGAAAAAACAATTGCCACCAACCACTGAGGACCTGTATACCGCATGAGTTAAAAAGAGGGCTGTGAAAATATCTACAGACCCCTCACATCCTGCACATAAATTGTTTCAACTTCTACCCTCAAAACAATGCTATAGGGCACTGCACACCAGAACAACTAGACACAAGGACAGTTTTTCCCCTGTTAAACAACTAATTCCCACAACACTGTCAACTTATTGACTGTATTACTATTATTCCTCTCATTCTTCCTGGTACCTATCCCTTCCCACTTATGACTATAACTAAGTTGCTTGTATCTTTACAATTTATATTATTTTATTTGTTTCCTAGTATGGTTTGATTGTTTATTAATAACCTATGACCATCACTAAGTGTTGAATCTTATGATTCTTGATGAATGTATTTTTTCCTTTGTGTACACTGAGAGCATATGCACCAAAGGAAAATTCCTTGTGTGCCCAATCACATTTGACCAATAAAGAATTCTGTTCTATTCTATTCTATTTTATAGCATGCCTGCAGGCAAAAGTAATATGAAAATTAGCCATGAAATATGATTTTATTGATCAAAGACAGCCTATTATATATGAATGGGAGAAAAGATATAAAGACATTTTCAAATTACTCTATAAGGAAAAACCATTTCTGTTTTCAACATTTAAAGATTCCATTTATACTCTTAATAAATTAATTCATGTATTTATCCATAAGGGGCTTTATAATTAACTGATTTGTGATTGATTTCAGTGAATAACTTAGTAAAGATACTTATAAAAGCAGGCAATACAATATGAAATGAAGCATTCCCTAAAATTCTGGAAGAATTTTCAAATCATTTGGCAAATATATTCCTATATTGATCTTTGCTTTCTTTATAACAGTAGGAAAGTATATTGAAATGAAACTGCATTTCTCTTGGATTTTTTAAAATAATTTTTATATTTAAAAAAAAACATCTCTTGGTGAACAGTGAGGTTCCAGGTTTTTACATTTCAATGCAAACATGACCATAGTTACATATTCACCTTTCTTATTCAATTTCATATAATATTATTATTCTATTTTCCTTTAAATATTCTCAAATATTAAATTCATTACACCTATTTTTGCAATTCCAGTTCATATATTAATTTATTTCATTTATCTTAAAATATTCTCATATCTTATTTTACAATACTATCTAAAATTCTTATTTAATTTCTATATTCATTACACATATTGCTTTTATCTGTCACGTTTGCAATTTTATCACATATTGTTATTCCATTCATTATTCAATAAATTTTATCCTTATTTTAATAAGTCAAAAAGTTGTCCCCTTTATGTCAATTTGAGTTTGCCACCTATTTACCATATACATTCCTTCAATTTATTCCCTTTAATTCATTTTAAAAATTTACCATAGTGTAGTCATTTTTAATTACCACATTCTACATTACTAATAATATTCTCCAAACTACTACATATCACATATGCATATATATTTTGTCAGATTCTGCATGGTATTCTTTTTCTCAATTACCTTATAAATCATCTATATATTCCAAAAATATTAATCTGTTCAATTAATTGTAGAAACTGATATTATTCTTTCCATTACAATTCTCATAATTCATTTTAACTTTATTCATTGCTTCATTAAGTATCAATTAATATTCTTATAATAAATTCCACGTTCCACCCTTTCTTTTCGCTTTTCCCTTTTTAAACTTTTATTAATTTTGCTAAATCTAGTTATTAGCTATTACTTCTTTTCAACATGTTCAATTATAGCATTTACTTATGCCTATTTAGTGCCAAAAGTCCAATAATTATCCAGTTTAATTTCCAAGCCTTTTGTAATAAGGTATTTTCCTCTAAATTTTCCACCTCCAAATTAATTCATTTCAAAACCAAAATCATAAGTTCAGATTTTCTTCTCACTCTCTCTGGTTGCCACTTTTACACACTTTCATCAAAAATAATTCTTTATTTCTTAATTCCGGGGTACCTTAATGTCCATATATATTGCCTGGTTCACACACTGCTCACAACTTCACCGTTCCAGCATAGTCTTAGTTTCCTGGATTGCCTCCCATCTTCATGGTAGCCATTTTAGACCACTGCTGAAACTTGTATTTGGAGGGAGTTTATCTTGTCAAGGAGTGGAGATGCTGCTCCCCTCAACCCTCCAAGTGCTCCCACTTTCTTCACCACCCCTCCAGGGTGGTTCTGATCTCAATTAGGATCCTCCAACAAGCGAGATCATGGATTCCGCTCAGACATGACAGAAAAACAACTGGAATTCCATTTCTCTTGGATTTTGATAAGCATATTTCTCTTTGAGATGGATCACCATTTGTTACTAGCTCCTGATTGACAGATTACAACATACTGAATATGTCTATACTATACGTAGTCTATACGTAAAAATCTATATGTATTTGTTTAAAATGGTTCTCTATTTTGGTACATCTCTAGATCATCATCTTAGATGTTAAATAATTCCTGCAAATGGTGATCATGTAACTGTGGACTATGTGATAGTTGTAAAGATCCACCAGTTGAATGGTGATCATGTGATCCCAAGGATGTTACTACAGTTATAAGCACAAAAATTTGTTATAAAGTTAGTTTTTCAGCATTAACATTTGATGTCATAACATCAAACAGTCACTAAACAGGCAGTTTTTAAGCAAGTCTACCTGTATTAAAATGCTGTGGAAACATATCTCAACTGAGGCTTCATTTCAAGTGAAGATTCATGATATAGTATACTAAATCATCCATTCTTTGACTTTTAGTAGGTAATCAGTTGGCAGCCCTTTCTTACTACCTTTTCAGTTACTTTCTAAAATGCCTGAATGACAAAATGGAAGTGATAAGGAAATGTCTGTCTAATAAATATATCAAGCAGTTTAATTGTTAGCTCATATTTATACTGTATACTGATTTTCTTGGAATCTCTTGTGATTTATAACACTTGTGAAAGTTGAAATTGAATCTGACCTTTAGAAAATGGCTATTATGGAAAGAGAGACAATAAAAGAATAATACATGGAGTCAGTGTTCAACTTAGAGAACCAGATAGTCATTCATCAGCTGGTTAAATATCAGCTAAATTGACCTGAGGGAATCAGATGCATTTAAGATACTGCAATGAGTGTTGAGATGTTGGCCACATAGACCAAATACTTGAAAAATCCAGTATTTGACTACAATAAATGAATATAAACATACAAAAATAAGAACCAGACAGTTACAAAGTAGAATGCTGTTTTTCATAGATTAAGTCAGTTAGCTAATCAAGTTCTTCTGCCTGATATTCATTTCTATTTGATGGATTTCTACAGTTAGCCAATCAAGTTCTTCTGCCTGATATTCATTTCTATTTGATGGATTTCTACAGTGTTCTAAACAATAAGCATTCTATAT